GCACACTTCCCGAGGTGGTGAATGAATACGCCAGTGTTTTCCCCTCTTCTTGTCTCCGAGCCGAACAAAACTCATTACCCTGCAGAAAATGACAAGACAGACCACATAAGTGAAGCCTAGTCACAATGGTCCCTGTAACGCAGGGGCGTCTCTAGGTTTTATGGACGAGGGATGAGCCTCCAGGACATGCACAGGATGCGCGTGAACGTAGTGCATGAGCACAACACTTTACAAACGGATTTGCGTGGGGGGGACACCACCCGAAGGGTGAGACGAGGATATATATATATAAAATGTCACAATATTGATCTCACAGTTGGGTTCGATAACAGAATTAATCTCAATGTACCATAATTATTGCTATCTCTTGGGGCGCACACAGGAGCACTGACAGACCTCTCTTTTTTTTTGCTGGCCATGTCCTCAATGGGCTTTTGTACATAAGGCTCTATGCGTTTTCCCATAGATTCGTGTGAAAAAGGGATCTCGACCTAAAATAAGAATAATGCAAACAGAACATGAAACATTGACAGTAATACAGTCCTAACTATTCCTACATACTGTATTTGATGTGCAGAGAATGGCGGAAAAGGTGCTGGTCACAGGCGGTGCAGGCTACATTGGGAGTCACTGCATAGTGGAGCTTATTGAAGCAGGCTACCAGCCCATTGTGGTTGATAATTTCAGCAATGCTGTGAGAGGTAAGCTGCAATAGGTGTGTGTGTGTTTTTAGCCAGCTATGGTTTTTATCTGTTCACAACGCATATGTTATGGATGAAGGAGGAGGAGGTGTGCCAGAGTGTTTACGTAGAATAGAGAAGCTTCTGAACACCAGCATTGAGTTTCATGAACTCGACCTTCTGGACAGAGCTTCCCTGGAAGAAGTCTTCAAAAAGGTAAGCGCGTCAATCCAATATGCTTCATTCAAGTATATGAAATGTACAACTTAGGATAGATACTCTTCATTACAAAATGTTTCTTCGCTGTACACCACGACTGGGTTTCCTTTGCGTGTTATCTTCGCACGCAAACCATCTTTATTAGCTTCCATTGTTACGAAACCTGTTTTCACCTCTGTCATTTTCTCATTCAGTCAGACCTACATAACTTTTTCACAAGTCGCTGCGCCTCCCTTTAAGTTCTTTTGCTAAGTTACACCGTGAAGACAATTTGGCGTGAATATTTTAAATCTCATGTGTGTCACAGCATTCGTTCAGCGCCGTGATACACTTTGCTGGCCTGAAGGCTGTTGGAGAGTCGGTGCAGCAGCCATTACGTTACTACAAGGTCAACCTTACAGCCTCCATGAACCTAATTGAGGTCAGTTTCACCCAACTGAATGTGCAACGCGACTTGATCACAGTTTGTCCAAATGTTTGTTGTCAGAGGACATGTGTGTGTTATTCTAGCCTTGTTTGTGGCTTGATTAACTGTCTGCCCGCCAAGCATCTGTAGTGCTGCCTGTGTGCCATAATAATGTGCAACCGTATGCACTGCAGGTGATGCAAGCACACGGGGTGCACAATCTGGTGTTCAGCAGCTCGGCCACTGTGTACGGAGACCCTGTGCTTTTGCCCATCACCGAGCAGCACCCTGTCGGCAACTGTACCAACCCTTATGGCAGGACCAAGTACTTCATTGAGGAGATGATCAAGGACCACTGCAAGGCCGACAAGGTACTGGGCTGGAGGTAGAGCGGCACTAACACACGCATTGAAGAACATACTTTTTCTGATGGTGATGCTGTGTGTACTACATGAGCAGAGGTGGAATTCTATATTGCTGCGTTATTTCAACCCCATCGGTGCTCATTCCTCTGGCCTCATTGGAGAGGACCCTCAGGGTATCCCCAACAATTTACTACCATACATCGCCCAGGTACATGAATGCTTTGACTTGCAATTTAGTTGCAGATGATGATGCGTCACTTCATGTCTTCATAATATGTCTTCATAAAAGGTTGCTGTTGGGAGAAGGAAGTGCCTCAGTGTATTTGGAAATGACTATGACACACTGGATGGAACAGGTATCAAATCTCAAATATTTGATCTAGTTTACTGTAAGTCAGGTGACACATACCAGTTTTTAACAACATTATTGGATTTTTAAAAAATGAGTAACTATTCCTCACATGACCAGGAACAAAAAAAAAAATCTTGTTACAGAAGACAGTCAAGTGAGAGTTACTAGGTCTGTCCGAACTTGCCACAGCGTGCGGTCCGCCAAGGTTGCATGAGAAGCAACTTTTGAATTATCCCACTCATCTAAAAACAGATTCACCTATAATTTGCAGTATTTTTGGTAACAATTTGAAAAAAAATAGAGCGGCGCCGTTGTGCCCTCTATTGACGAGCCGCCACTGGAAGAAATGTACTTGGTATAAAAAAATAAATAAATAAAAATTTAAAAATAGAATAACGGAGGCTAACTGTTAGCTTATCTGGTAACTGCATTGCAGCGGTGAACTACTCTTGTCATTTCCGCTGAAGGGAATTACTTGTTAGATGTATTCGGCCAGTGGTTCTTAACCTGGGTTAGATTGAACCCTAGGGGTTCGGTGAATCAGTCTCGGGGGTTCGACAGAGCCTCTGCCATGGAGGTTAAGACACGCCCAACTCAACATCTCAATTAGTTATGACACGCCCGCTTGGCCATCACTGGCTGGTTCATTTGTGCACAATTAAAAAACTTGTACTTTATAATTATACTAATTGTGTTTACATTTTTTCTCTTTTTAATAAATGCGTTGTTTATGTCTTGAATTTGTAACCAATTTGCTTTACTGTTTGTTGTATATGTTAATTGCTCCATATACAGCACTTTGCATGCAGCGACGGCTGTTTGAAAGTGCTCGATAAATACAGTTGAATTGAGTTGAATTTATCCCAAAAAAAAAAATAATAATCATACTTTTTTTTTTTTCCGCAAATGAAGGATGCATATGAACCGGTTGGGTTCAGTACCTCGAACAACATTAAGAACCACTGTATTAGGCAAATACTAAACACAACCAGTTGCTTCTCCATTTGAAATCGACAGCGCAGGCTTCAGAGCTGCGGGGTCTGTGGCTCGATCGAACTTGCTGTCAACTGTCCATCTTATATTTTACTATATTGCTAATATGGAACTGGTTTAACGTTTGCAATTTTTGGCCTTGCCTGTTTTCTGAGCAAAAATCACTCTTAAACCAACCCACACAATGGGATAATCAGTCACAGTTTTTGACAACTGGGCCTAACGTTGATAAGAAAGAGGGGGAAATGCTTGAATTTGTCCTTGATTATCCGCATGTGTTTACCCTCTCTGAAAGAAATATGTTGTCACTCTTACATCTAATGTGTTTTCTCTTTCAAGGTGTGAGAGATTATATTCACGTTGTCGATTTAGCAAAGGGACACATAGCCGCGCTGAAGAAGCTGAAAGACAACTGTGGGTGCAAGGTAACAAAACAGGAAGAAATGCAGGTTTTTACTGAGATTAAATATTGGTGCCATATCAAAATCTTTTTACTTAGAAAAAAAAACAAAAAAAAAAAAACAACATCAATCCACAGTTTTGACTGACATGGATGGCTGACAGTCAGTCTTTTTCCACTCGAATCCTGCAGGTGGTGGTAATGCACATTACCAAGTGGTTGACAGAAACCTCTCTCACCACGTAAAGCAAATCTGTTCATTCTTATTACCTTGCTGGAAGTGAGTATTTGACACAGGCTTTGTATTGGATCTCATTTGATGGAACATGTTCATTTAATGGTGTGTATGATATGCATTAATGTCGTGACTCTAGAAAATTGTTCCTTGAAATGTCATCAAATGAGGTGATGGAAATTATCAAATTTCATTTAATTGATCCCCAAAAAATTAGATATGAATTTATATTACAAACAATGTGTCTGTTCAACAACCTGTGCCAGTGACACATCTGCCGCGAGATGACAGAGCCACTTTTTGGGGTAATTTTGTTCGTTGGTGTTCATGAGTCTTGGGCCAATGAAGGTTGGGAAACATAACATTGATACAATGAAAGAATTTTTATTTTATTTTATTTTCTCCGCCAACAGGTTTACAACCTCGGAACGGGAGTAGGTTACTCTGTGCTCCAGATGGTAAATGCGATGAAGAAGGCATCCGGGAAGGAGGTGAGTCACATAGATCAAGTGAAATAAACTTGGAACAGGAACACGACACTATTCTGTGAATTGAAGGTGCCATCTTATATCTCTGTAGATTTCCTACAAGATTGCCCCTCGTCGAGACGGAGATGCAGCATGCTGTTATGCTGACCCTGCCCTGGCTGAGAAGGAGCTTGGCTGGAAGTCTGAATTTGAATTGGAAAGAATGTGTAATTTTTCCCGCAACTTCCTTCTTGGAAAAAAAAAAAGAGACAAATGTGTCATACACGAAGCTGATATTATAATTCATTTGCATGTAGGTGAGGATCTTTGGCGCTGGCAGTCCATGAACCCCATCGGATATTCCAAAGAGGGAGATTGACGACACCGTTCCAGTTTTTTTTTTTAACTTCTGCTATATCAAAGGGCCAAAGCACAGTTATTTTTTTCATAATTGAGGGGAATAGGAATACTTTATGCTTAATAATATTTTAACCTATTGAAAAGGGAATTCAATCATGTGATGACTGAAATGGGTGTTTAAAATGAACTCTACACACCTTACTATGAGCTAGTTGAAAATATTTCAGTCCATCAGTCAAAATGTATAATTAAACGCAACATTATAACGGTATATCTGTGTGATTGAATGCACATTCATACTGGTCTTAAAATTATTCTGCCATATCTCAATAATTGTGAAGTACTGCTGTATTTGCAAAGTGATGGAATCCCATCAGTTTGACACATCACAAAGCATTGTTGAGAAATACACATTTTATCAGTGTCTGTTGCATCCAAATTGTGTATTTTCTTTTTCTTTATTGTTCTCCAAGCCATACTCATTCGATGATAGACCTTCGTCTCGCATATTTTGTGTCGTTTACAAGGCTCCCCAAATGAACACTGAAAGAAAAAAAAACATTGCTTGCCAAAATGAACAAGATTGGTTTTTTTTCCCTCCGAATATCAACCCTTTGACTTTCACGGGTCACTACGGCAAATGTGGGAGACCTGCTATTTTGACTTTTAAATTTGAATTGTTAACCCAAATGCGACATTGTGCAAGCAAAAGCTTCTGTTTTGCTTGACGCTGGGTCTTTAAATGGCTCCTTGAACCCTCGGGCACCCAGTTAATAAAACACCCACGTCAGCACAGCGCTCCAGTCTCTCTCGCCGGGTTTCGGTCTTTAGGGCTGAGCAGGAAGTGGCTGACTGTGGACCCTGATCGAGAGAAAAAGGCCTAAGAAAAGCCTGTAGGGAAGCCAAAAAATGGATCTTGTGACCGACGAGGGGGAAAACAAGCTCTATCGGGCGTCGGGTGAATCCAACCACCAGTAAGTATCGAAGGGTTTTATCACGGGTATCATGGTGAGGGGCGTAAGCGGGTTCTGTCGAATGCGCGCGCCGGGAGAGAGTCGTTGCGTTCGGGTAAGCGAGGCAAATCCTCCCCGCTGCTCGCTGTGCTCCGGACCTCCGGCAAGAAGTGTGTGGGGGTGGGATGGGGCGGGGGTTCCACTTAAATAAAACGGGCGTTTTTAACGTATAACCCGTAGGCGGATTTCCCACCCAAATAATTCTATACAAATAGAAGCCAACGGTAGGTTGTGTTCGGAGGTTTATTTTCCATTGTGTGCTGGTCGGAGCCTGAAGTGGGCGTCGCTCCAGGACACAGTGGGCTGCTCTGGTGCGTCGCTGCCCGCTTTACCCTCACAGGACTACAGCACTCTTACGACGCTTTGCAGCTCCATACGCCTGAATTTGCTCTAATTTCATATGTGTTTATTGTTTACATCACATTCCTTTATTAAATATTTGGGGCACAGTGGTATAATTTGAGCGGGTGGGTTCAAGCGGGCAATGCGAACCGAGCCAGTTAGGCTGGATCGAATAATTAAATGAATGTGTGTCGTAGTCGACATGAGGATGGGAAACTAGGTTACTGTTTAAAAAATAAAGGGTATGAATGTGGTTCAGTGTATTTAAAGTTCGTGGCTCTCCACAACGTTGCATTCCCTCTCTCCGTTCCCGAGTGTGTTTGTAACATCACGTATTCGACGTGCGACGAGCCTCCATTAAGGGTGATTACAGGGATTTGTCACCCGAAGCTTCCTGACTGGTGTCGGGTGTAGCCCAGTAGATGACACATTTTGATTGATGGATGATTTAGCCAATGGAAGTCCAGAGTGTAATCGAGTAGGCGGAGCGTCTTCAGTGTTGTACAAGCGCAGACCACAGCATTGGGAAGGATGGTACAGTATGTTTAAACACTATTAAGTGTAGTCGTGCACTCTAGCAAAAAAAAAAAAAACATGAGAATCATTGCAAGTACTGTTTTTAGATCATGATCCTGAGCTTTGATTGGCACTTTATAGAGTCGTTGATTTAAAAGTTGATTTAAAAATCAGTTAATGTCTCAGTCGACCTTGGAGTTGACTGCACATGTCAGGATTTGTGGCTGGGATAGGCTCCAGCATCTCCCGCGACCCTTGTGAGGATAAAGCGATTGGGAAAATGGATGGATGGATGAATATTATTTCATCCTGTAGCATCATCCTAAATAGTGTAATGTTAGGCAATCAAACTGGCTTCAAAATCCCGATCCTTTTGGCATATTGTTTTATACAGCTCTTGTTTTATCTCTCTCTTTCATTAAGTCATGCAGATGTAACTAAGTTCAAGGTGAACATGACAGTCATGAGACCCGATACGATGCCTCAATTGTCTGTCGTTTTCCCCTCTGTCAATTGCAAATAATCTGTGTTAACATGCGCATTAACTCAAGTGCTTGATGCTACTTTAAGTGATGAGGTTGAACCTGTCATGCATTGTTGCATCTTGCAGACAACCTCAGAGATGGTTCAACGCGGCCGACATCACGGTGGCTCACCAAACCAACCTGCTAAAGCAGCTCAACCAACAGAGACGTCAAGAGCTCTTTTGTGACTTCAGTGTGCTGGTAGAGGGCCACCTCTTCAGGGCCCACCGCAACGTCCTGTGCGCCAGCAGCGGCTACTTCCGCATGCTCTTGACCCAGGGCCTCGATGGCATGTCGGAGTCTGCTAATGCCACCTTTGACTCTTTCAGCCCCGAGATCTTCACAGTCATCCTGGATTTCATCTATTCGGGTCAGCTGGACCTCTCCGGTCAAAATGTGATTGAGGTGATGTCTGCAGCTAGTTACCTGCAGATGAACAATGTTATCAACTACTGTAAGAATTTCATCAAATCCTCTTTGGACATTAGCGTGAAAGATGAAGACAGCGATCGTTGTCACAGCTTGTCAGAGACCTGCAGCTTTACCAGTGGGGTTGGTGAGGAGACTTTAGAGCAGCAGCCGCAACAGCAGCAGCAGCAGCAACAACAACAGCAGCAGCAGCCTCCAGAACCACGTTCTGACAGTCCACCACCTGCACTTTGGACCAGGGACAGCTCCAGATCCCAGTCAAGCTACATGGGCAAAGATTTGGAGCAGGACATTTCAGGTTCTGCCTTGAAGACTGAGCCAAGTAGTCCTGCCAATGAGCTCAACACAGAGTTAGAGGACCCCCAGGACCCTTTGTATACTTTGCCAGTGTCAGAGCGGCGGCGTGCCAAAGGTGCAAATAAGCGAAAGGCGACCAACAGCACCCAGTCTAACCAGCATGAAGACCCAGACATCCAGGAGGGCAGCACAATAAAGGCGGAGAAGGCTGATGAGCTTTACGCCAATCTTCCACCAATTGTGGGTGTTGTTGCAAACTTCAATGACAATGGTAAGCAAAGACGTTTGGGGAGAAATGAGACTGAAACCGATGTGGTTAAAAATGTCGATTCCAACGGCTTCTCCGTCTGCTTTACAGAATCCAATGCCACAATGCGCTTCAAATGCCCTTTCTGTACACACACGGTGAAAAGGAAGGCAGACCTAAAGCGTCATTTGCGCTGTCACACTGGCGAGAGACCGTATCCGTGTCAGGCCTGCACGAAGCGATTTACTCGCCTGGAACATCTCCGCAGCCACTTTGAGACGGTATGCCTTAACTTCAGGATTATTGTTTTGCTTCTTGCAAAAGGCATTTGGAAACCTCACCATTACCACCAGTAAGAAGTCCGTCCCACTTTTGCAGCTAAAATAGCTTTTTATGTTATAATTATTCATGTAATTAGGAAGACTTACAGTGAGATTTTGGGTCTGTGGGAATGATTGTCTATTCATCCAAATAGGTCAGGTCAGGAGTTCCATGTCTGTTTTGGTTTATGCTGAAGGTGTTTGACGGAGTAGATATCAGGACTCTGATAGAAGAATTCCACAGCAGACTTGCAGATTTTCTTTGCACACGGGGACACAATCATGCGAGGAAAGAAAAGGGCCTTCCCCACACATTTTGCAAGCTGAAGATTATCCAATGCGCGTTGCATGCAATGCGTGTGATTCACGGAAAGAACTCAGCCTGACATATAATTAATTGAGGGTTGTGTCACAACATTTCTGTTAGGGTTGGGCGAATACCGATACCAGTTATTGGTATTGGGCCGATACCGGACTTATTTTAGGGTAGCGGGTACTCATGGAAGCTGCCGAGACCAGCTAACAATACTTAAAGGAAAAAAATAAATAAATCTGACATCGTGTAAGTCCTCCTTGGCAGTAGTTGGCGCTGTACTGCAGCAGTTTTATAAATCTGAGAATCATCATTTGCGTCAGAATGAAATTTTATACATCCAAAGTACTCGGTATCAGTACTCCATATCGGTGCGTACTCAAAGTGTATGTGTGAATACTCGTACTGCTATTGGTCTGAAAAAAAATTGCATATGATGTATACTGTATGTAGTTTGTACCAAACCAAATGACAATTGTCTGTGATCTGTGCTACTTGTCAGATTCATCAAGCCAGGAAGCTGGTGTGCAGGAGGTGTAAGTGTCCGGTGACGGAAGACTCTGGCCAAGTGGTGTGTGAGGGCACAAGGCGTTACCGTATGTGCCCTCTGTGCGTCCATGAAGTGGGCCGCGATACTATGCCCATGGAAAGTCTAGAGGGAAGCAATGAGGAGCCGGCTCTCTTATTGGGTGTGGACGGCGAGGAGGAGCAGAGTAATCGGGCCTGGATGGCAACCGATGACGACGACTTGGCCGAAGACTCCGGGGCTGACCTGATCATTCAACAAGTGGATGATAGTGATGAGGAGCTGCAGTGAAATTGGACCAAAGTGTGTGTGTGCGTGTGTGATGTGTGCATGTCTGTGTGCGTGCACGTGCGCATGTGTAAATATTGGCTGCGGGTGAACATGTTAAAGTCATGCCTGAGAATGTAGGCTACCAAGGTGTGATCCAGTTAGCAATGAGACAAGATTTCCCCAAAATAGCAATCTGTCAGAATTCACTTCGACCCGAGTGCAATGTGGTAAGAATTGTGAAAATTGCATGGAGGGTTCCAGAAAAATTGAGCTTTTGTGTGGTGTGTGTGCGTGTGCGCGTGTGTGCGCGCGTGTGTGTGTGTGTGTGTGTGTGTGTGTGTGTGTGTGTGTGTGCGTGTGTGTGTGTGTGCGTGCGCGCGCGCGCACGCGTGTGGGGGCTGAAATTGGGTAGAATATCTTTTGTGTTACATTACCTATTGAAAATCTGGTCAAAGGGCAACTTAACATTTGAGTAAAACAATACAACTTTACTATTTCTCAACATAGTGTATCTCCAAAACGTCACAACTTTTTGAACTCAATGAGTGATGACTTCCCAGTTGCTTTAACAGTTCCTGTGAGTTTCAAGGAATATGCTGAAACCTACCCGGAACTTCAATAGCCACCCACAAAAGCTACATTTTTCCATCAGCTCTGATGTTGTACAAATTTTCATAGCTACAATTGTTAAATTTTGTTTGCTACTCAGGGAATTGCCTTTTTGATTAGCTGACAGGTTTCAGCTACAAATATCCACAAATAAGCTTAAACGGGCCAAAATTCCAAGTTGTGCTCCAAGTGGACTCCATAAAATTGCCGTGATGTTTCAAACTATGTAACTTGCCCTAAAATAAAATAAAAAAAAAAAGACATGACGCAAATAGCACAAATTGAACATTATTCATGAGAAGAGCCGTGTGGGCAATAGAAAAACTCATGTATTTTAGTCATCAATAGTTTTTTTTCCCCGAATTTATTTGTTTTGGAGATTTTTTGAGGCGTTTGAAGTACTCATTCCATAATTTTTAACCTGAAAATGCAGAAACAGTAGTATTCTCATCAAGCGCATTTTTGAGGCAGGGCAAACAGACAGTTTGAAGGAACCAATCAGCAAAGGCCTGAGCTGACGTCATAAAAGTGACTCGCGTAAGCCAGGCGGAAATGTCTTCTTTTGAAAGAAATGCTTACAGGTTCGTCAGGCGGGGGTGTATTTCTAGCCATTTAAAACTGACTTTAATTCTGAATCAAACAATTGTCTCTCTCAAATTCCGGTTCAGGGTCTTGGTCTCCCGACCCACTTTCTGAGTGGATTTGGCTTGCCGGGCTTGAAAAATCCACCAAGGTGGCTGCCACTTGTCAGTTTGCAAATCCAGCGGTGTGTGTGTGCGTGCGTGTGTGTGTTTACTCATGAAGTTACTCTGATATGCTGTATTATTCTTTGACTCTAACACAACTGGCTGATCAATTATTTGAGAGATCGTTTTACTTTTGTGACAAGCTCCTTAAGTATATGTATATGCAGTATCTAAAGCATGCGTCCTGGGTGTTTCTTTTGTGGTGTTTCAATGATAAACTCTTAGTGTTATGTACAATTTTTTTTCATAATGGAAATGTTTTTTCTTTTTTTTTACTTTTGAAAAGAGAGATTGATTGAACCTGAAATAGTACAGAGGACTATTTAATGAGGAACTCAATGAGATGGAATTTTCACGTGTCATTGCAATGCTACCTTATAATATGCACTATGATGGTAAGCCAATTAAAAGTTTCTTGTTTTTTTTTAAACTATTGGACACATTAAAGATATTTTTGTAGACTTCGCCATGGCTGCAAATTTCATCCTAAAATCCATCAAGTCCCACCTCTGTTTTTTCTGTTAAATTAACAATTTATAGTTTCATATGTAAAATATGTTGCCACAAGACGGCCAGGATAGGCTCCAGCACTCCCTCAACACTCGTGAGGATAAGCGGTTCAGCAAATGGATGGATGGATATAAAATATGTTTTCATTGTATGAATCATTATTAAGTCACATCAAGTAAAGTTTATTTGTTTAGACCTTAATTACAAAAGGGGCTCACAGTTCGGGACGTGATTCTTCCTCAGGAGTTGGGCAACATCTGTGGTCTGGGGAAATCACCCTCAGATCTTTCCCTGGTTTCTCGGTTCAGAATCCAAACAGCAAGGTGTGCCTATTGTCCAGCAGTAAATTACACCCGTTACGTCTCGTTGGAGCCATCGTGGACGTACCCGTGTACTGGAAATGTTGCCATACAAGTGTCAATACAGAAAGTGTATTTTCAGCTCTGATGTGTTTTTCCAAGTTAAATTAATGAATTACTACCAATGAAGCCACACATGTAAAATTAAAAAAACAACAAAACAAAGGAGTGGCGAGCCGTGCATTTGGTTGCTCGGATTTAGCAGGGACTAACCTGGTTTAATGAAACCAACTCGTAAAACACCCATCAACATTTTTGTGGCCGCTAGAGAGCGCCCAGGCGCTGCCCGTCAAGGCAAGCAAGAATTTCCGCAGAAGAAGTGTTAACCGACGACAGAGACCGGACCAACATGGCGGCGGTGTGGCGGCTTGTAAATAGAAGCGCTTTTAGCTCCGCAACAATCGGACACCAGTACTTGCCGTTCAGCTCCGCAGTGAAGGTTAGAGCATTTTCAATGTGGATGTTATCGCCCAGCAGGTTGTAGAGGCTGTCGAAGGGTTAAACGGCCTCTTTGGATATTTATTATCCTCGTTTCCCTACTCTGAAAAGAAAGGAACATTCCGTCAAAGAAAGTACCACCTGAGAATGTTAATTTTGACATAGAACTCAGAACTGTCCAACATCTGAAAGTATACACTATATAAAATCGCTTGCCTGAAATAAAAAAAAAAACTCTTGTCTCAAAATTGTGTGAGAATACAGTTTGTGTTTATAAATTGCAAATAATGTACATTTCTAAATGTTCTATCATCCAAGACTGGCATAATTTCGTCATGGTTACCAACGTTACCTACTTGCATGGTCCCAAAAATGCTCCAATAATATTTGTCTTTGCGTTCATGATATTGCACACGGATTATCATTTACACAAGTGTGTAAATTGTCCCTCGGTGTGATTGTGAGTGCAGATGGTTGTGCGTTTATGTGTGCCATGCAATTGGCTGGCAACCAGTTCAGGGTGTCCCCCGCCTACTGCTGGAAGACAGCTGGGATCGGCTCCAGCACCCCCGCGACCCTCGCAAGGACAAACGGATTGGAAAATGAATGGATGGATGGATGCATTGAATGGCAAAAGGTGCAATAAACCTGTACCTGTTGTGGTTCGTACCACAAAATAAATCATGGCTTTCTGCAAATATTATATTTGTGTTTCATTAAGCCAGCTTAGATATTACATTTAATAATTAGATTTGTTAGTTCATTGAAACGGGAATATAAATATTTTGTTTTGCAGTGTGTTGTGACATTTTTCCAATGTAAAATGGGAGATTGGGAAACACAATGTACACATTTTTTTCTCAAAAACTTTTAGTGTCCTTCACACAATTTAAAACAAAGCTCATTCGCATAATAAAACACAATATTCTTTTGAGAAAAATGTGAAGATATCTTTATATTTTGCCTACATATGCTGTTTGAATTATGCTTGAGTAAATAGAAAAAAAACATTTGTGTTTGTTTGGTACAACTACAAAAGAGCTTTAAAATGCCCCCATGATCAGCTTTCCTCGGTAGTGTGGTTTCAAAGATATAGATCTTTAATGATGACAAACAATCTCAATTAGCTGCAACTTTACTGTAGCTTTAGAAGGAAGAGCTTGGTTGAGAATGAAAATGTTTTCTGTTCAGGTTTTTTCTTCCATTTCCAACCAAAAATGTGAAGCCATTATGAGAGGTGAAGGCAAAAGTCTTGATTTTCACATGCAATGACCCAGACAGGCTCTTTTTATCTGTAGGCTGGCATGAGAGCAGGTCAAACCCTCCCGGAGAGGGTAAAAATAGTGGAGGTGGGACCCAGAGATGGCCTTCAGAATGAAAAGGTAGAGTATTATGTTGTTTCTATCATGGTTTTGTGTGTCACTTTCAAATGTTTTTCAGGGTTTGAAAAATAACACATTTACTGTTTTCTTTGTCAGACTATCGTTCCAACAGAGACCAAAATCCATTTGATAGACATGTTGTCAGAGTCAGGGCTGTCAGTAGTAGAAGCCACAAGCTTTGTATCACCGAAGTGGGTTCCACAAGTAAGTTTCCTCTCCCATAGTTCACATGTAAATTGTTGTCATGCCTGCACATGCACATCGCAGCACTGGAACGGCACTCCCACCCGTGAGCATTTGCACACATTGTTGTCAGTGTTACTGTTCCCTGTTATAGATGGCAGACCAGGTGGAGGTGTTGAAGGGGATCTATAGGAAACCTGGAGTGTCTTACCCGGTTCTCACCCCCAACCTCAAGGGCTTCCAGGCTGCTGTGGGTATCAAGCACATCTTCCCCACGGCTTCCATTGCCATACTTAGAGCTTACAATGGTGTTTCCCGACTCTGACTCCATGACAGGTGAAGGCCGGAGCATCTGAGGTCGCCATATTTGGTGCTGCGTCTGAACAGTTCAGTAAAAAAAATATAAACTGCTCAGTGGATGAAAGTTTACGTCGTTTTGACGAGGTCGTGAAGGCGGCTACAGAGGCCGGCGTGCCCGTAAGAGGGTAAGATGACCAAAAAAAAATCGGTAGATTTATCAATGAATGCACATCCTTTTGTTGTCCCTACAGCTATGTGTCTTGTGTTCTCGGCTGCCCGTATGAAGGCAAGGTTCGTCCCGAAAAAGTTGCACATGTGAGTTCTAGCTTAAATCCATTAACCATGCTTGACAAGCCTTAAAATTCAAATCCATGTTTATGTATTGTCATAATAAGGGTGGCAGACACGGTGTCGCTGTATAACATACTGGTGTCTCTGCAGGTAGCAAAGCGTCTGTATTCCATGGGCTGCTATGAGATTTCCCTTGGCGACACCATTGGAGTGGGCACGCCAGGCAGCATGCAGGAAATGCTGGCAGTGGTGAGCCGCGAGGTGCCAGTCAATGCTCTGGCGGTGCACTGTCACGACACGTACGGGCAGGCCCTCGCAAATATTCTTGTAGCCTTGCAGGTTTGTTGTTCCTCATTCTCCGAGTCACACGGTTCTCCTAATAAGCGGGTTGCTTCAAGCGGTTCGTTCGTCACTCCCAATTGAAATTTACCCTCAAACTGACGCCAGCACATTTCATGCACAAATATTGGATTTAGTGAAATCTGCTACCAGTCAAACATGTGGAAACACTGGTATGCGTGTCTTTTTAAATGTGCAACTGTTTAATTCTTACATGTGTTTGTCTTATTCAAATGGATCTTGAGTCTGGAATTAAAAAAAATGCATTGAATAAAACCAAAGAGAATTCAACATTATATATTTAAAGACTCACAACCTGAAGAAGAAACACGGGTGCCTCCTTTGGGCTCAACTCCTGTTTGAGGAGCCAAGGAGGTCGGGTGCAATGTTAGCTGGGTTTCGGCCAAAGGCAGGCACCTTGACAGTCTCATCCGTGGCGACAGAACTTGGTTTTAGAGACAAGGAATGTCATCTCTCTGGCAGTGAAAGAGTCTGAACTAGTGTGTGAGGCTGAGAAATGTGGCTTGGGCTTGACTCGACAAACGGCGTGGGCTCAGGTACTAGTCCTCTTGAGACGGGTAAGACTCCCGTTCCACTCTGGAGTCGGCCCGGGTAAGATACGCCGAGCAGGTGTGAGCATAGTTATTGTGCCTGCCGACTCAGTGCCTGTACGTTGGGGTTTTACCCAGTTGACGAGAGGGGAGACTCCCTCCATCTGCGATCGTGGGGACGGGTCCTGACTGTCATTTGTGCCTATGTACCAAACAGCAGCTCAAGAGTACCCACTATTTTTGGAGTGTTTGGAGGAGGTGCTGATGGGCATTTCCACTGGAGGCTCCCTCATTCTGCTTTCAAACTTCAGTGGTCACTGGGGAAATGACAGTGATACCTGTTAGGATGCTATTGGGACAAACGCCCCCCTAATTTCCCAGACCGGAACCCACGCGGTGTTTTCTTATTTGACGGCTCTCCTTATCACAGATTGTGTATCTCGAACTTTGTATCCCGGAGCACCCTCAGCCACAATTTGATGATCGACTTTGCGGTCGTGTCATAAGGCTTGCATCTCGGACTCATGGTTGAAGATAGCTGTCAAACCGATCATGGCGGTATGTTGGCTCCACTGGTGGGGGAAAATGCTGGCAGAAGAATATCTGGTAGAGTCCACTGTCAGAAGCTGAGTTTCATCACCCAGCTCTCGCAGAACTTGGATCATGTGGACATCGAGTCCTTACGGGCTGTGTTTCTCCAGTGTTGAGGCGGCCGACCAAAGCTGTGCCCAGAGTGCTGTCGGCGCCTGTTGTTGCGGAAATCCCCAAACACGTTGGTGGACACCATCAGTGAGAGATGCCGTCAATCTAAAGGAGCAGTTCTATCTGGCCTTTTTGGTCTGTGTGGATTGGCAGGTCAAAGAGAATGCATCTTTGGTGGTCACTGAGTCAAAAACCTCAGCGTGGGAAGAGTTCAGTGTGGCCGTGGGGAAAGACTTCAAGGAAATTCAGGTCTTCCATCCGACGACCATCCATCCACACTATGTATCGTGGAGGTTAAGGCGCTGCTGACCTTGAGTCAGGACGTTGTGAATCAGCGGGGAGAGTACTTCAAAAACCTCCTCAGTTCCTTCGACACACCTTCCAATCAGGAAGCAGAGTCTGTGGACACTGAGGTGGGCTCTCCTATATCAGGGGTTGAAGTCATTGAGCTGGTTGAAAAGTTGCTCGGTGGTTCTGTTGGCTTCCTCCAGCTGCGATGTTCTACTCTTGCTGGAGCAGTTCACAGCCGAGTGCGAGGCGGTTGGAAAGAAAATCAGCATCTCCAAACCTTCTTGCGCTCATCATGCTGCGTCTCTTCCAGTAGACTGGTATGTTGTGGTATAATGTGCTACTACACTGAAGCCGCACAACTCTGGATTCTGATATACTGTAAAAACCCATAAATCATTGCTGAAAAGTCTACGGAATAGCAGGACTGCAAATGAAGAACTGCCAAACTGCAACATTGTGGGGAACATTGTACTGTTCACGGTGCTCATAAATGTATCACTGACACACAGATGTACCTAATGTTGTGACCACTTCGTATGTTTCTCATTGGTGTTGCCTGACACGAATCTCATTTGCCTGTAGATGGGAGTGAGTGTGGTGGACTCTTCTGTCTCCGGACTAGGTGGCTGCCCTTACGCACAGGGTGCTTCTGGCAATGTTGCGACAGAAGATCTGGTCTACATGCTTCATGGACTTGGGATTCAGACTGTGAGTAGTTGTCTGTTTACAGTGTCAAATTTTTGGCTCATTCAAATTATCTACAATTTTAACGCGATGTGAAAAGACAAACAACGTTTTGCGGAAAACTTAACTTTAAGGCTTGTTAACCCTTTCATGCACCCTGTAACCTGATAACATGATAAGCTGTCCACTGTAGTAACCGCTGTCCCCGAAAGGGTTAAATGTTTGACTTTTTTTGCAGGTGAAGGAAACCATTTGGTAGCAATGGAAAAGCGTTGTGTGTTCGAATATGCTTGAATGTAGTCGAGCAAGAGAGTGCAACATGAATTCTTGAGGAGATTCCATAAAAAAAGATTCACCGGCTAGGAAGCAGATTCGGACATTGTATGAAAACATTCAAAGAGTAAGGCAAAAAAATAGAATTGTTCCGTGTTACAGGTGGAGCAAAACTATATAAAAACTATTTGTTAAATTTTGCTGACAGCATGATGATTATTTAATTTGGATAATCATTAATTCATTTCAAACTATGTCAAATGATTTGAAACCTCCTGTATTTTTTTTCTTTTTAATCGGATCATCATTCATCTTAATTGTCACTTCGAAAGCCCTTCTAGCCCTGTTTATTCCCGTAATAAAATGATCTCTTCTTCCCAGGGAGTGGACCTCACCAAGCTGATGGATGCGGGAGCTTTCATTTGTAGAAGCCTTAACAGGAAGACCAGTTCTAAAGTGGCACAGGCAACCTGCAAACTGTAGTCAAATTCAATCGCGAGGACTTTCATCAGCACACACAAATCCGAAAACCAAGTGTTCTGTTGCTGCCTCCCAGAATTTTGTCTGACACGTCATCCACCAGTCATAAGAATATCCCTTCAAAGTTTGTATGATGGTGATGTGTTAGAAATAATCACCCGGTTCCTTAGATTCCCTCTGTGTGAAGGCATTGCTCAAATAGTGCCTTAAAAATAGAGCCAGTCTAGTCATACTATGGAAAGTGACAATGCCTTCCTCCGTTGTGTTTTCAATGAGAATATGAATAATGTGACTTCATAGACACTTGAGCAAAATCCTCTCGTCAAAATGTGAGTGTGATGGATCAACTCGCTGTTGGTGAAACCCATAAATCTGAATTATTTCAGATGGCTTTTGAAACAAATGTACGATTAGGAATTTTTGGCAGAATTGAAACTGTAACATGTTGATATTTATTTTCAAAAACGTTGTCCACATGTACAAATTTAACTCGTGAATGGTATAAATAAACGCTTCTTGATCCATTGAAACTCGTCTCAGTATGTTTTTGATGTGTTATAAACATTAATAGAAATCAAGATCATTTAGAATATTTCAGGATTCGGATATGATATGATTTTAAGATAACCGTAACCATGTTTTGTTTATTTGTGTGTTTGTTTTTGGTACTGATCCAGTCCCTTGCCGTTTGTTCAGGAAGTAATTCAGTCATTGCGCTTTCCCCTATGCCGCACCTCACAGGAACCTGTCTGACAGGCATGCTGAGATTCTTACTGGATGCCACCAACATTTAGGATTGTACAATGTTTTCGTGTACATTGTAATGTTCATTGTTGTTTGTTTACATCCCTGCCCCTGACTCAAACAGTGCCGCCATAATTGATTTTTTTGTGGAAGACGCCCCATCGTTGATAGTTACATGAACTTTTGTTATTCATACAAGCTAGTACACTCTTGGATTGCATCCATTATAGTTGGCCAACTATCTTAGGTATACTTAAACGCCATAGGGACATTTTTATTTTATTGTTTGACATGACTTTGTCTTAATGCAGATGCCGTGCATCGGAGCGGGCTAACAAATATCGGAGCTAGCACATGAGAGACGGAAGTCCTTGACTTCTACTCCATCGATCGATCCAGAGGTTTTAGTTTACACCATATAATATTATTGCAAGGGTTGCATTGAGGCGATTCGTCATTTGAACAAAGCTAAGTCATGCTTTGGTTCGGACGCACGAGCACACACACACACAAACACAGTACATTAGGTAGACTAAAGTCATATGGTCAATAAATTTATTATGTATAAAAATAAACAACTTGTCAAAATTACATATCATACATTCTTGGGGCATTGTATGTAGCATTAGCCAACACATCACGAACAGCAGCAGTCCTTTCGGCTGATTTAAATCAACAGTGGTCAGTGAGGTTGTTGACTAAAAAGCCCAAACAAATGCAAAATGAGAGACTGTGTGTAAGAAAGACATGAATGTGCCTGTTATCACCATCATAATTCCAGACACTCACCCCACCAAAAAAATGTGAAAAACGAGTTTCGAGCCAGTTAACTTACTTTCAGTTACAGTTGTCAGCCATAGTGGTGTGCCCACATTCCAGAATCATTACCACTCTCCAGTGACTTGAGCTCTGCTTGCAGGCGTTACCAGCACATCAGAATTGCAATGAAAAGCTGGATGAAATGTACAGAGGAATGAATGGCATGGCACGTTCCAACCTCTTCAGGTGTCTCTCTACTGTCCACTCCCAATAAGTGGAGGGAATAATGTGTGGTGGGATGACTTTGAAAAGGCCTACAACCTTTATTGTATTCCAAACGAATCCCACATATCAAAGAGAAATCAATCTGGCAAAGATGAGAGGTACATATTGTGGAGGTTGACATGGAAATCCAAGTTCACATGCTCAGAAAGAGTCGAAAAGTGTGGACGCGGGGGCCCACGGCATAGTCCAGTGCTCAATGGCTCAAGTTACAGGGGCTGACACACACTATGGTTTGGCCATAGCTCTAAATGTGTTTTTAAGCCTGCAAGTGAGTCATAGCCCAAGCACAACTGATAGTTTTCAGTCTCTTTTGGTTTGTCTCTCAGCAAGGAGTCGACAAATTTGGAGCAGAGGCCCGAATCTTGTCCTCAAGCTTCAATGTGGACAATCTGTACTCTGGCTTGTTTGCAGAGTTGAAGGATGGAGGCTTATCCTTCAGGTCCACCTTAGACGGAGGCTGGACGCAGTTGTTGAATATGTCATCCATGTAGTCGTCCTGGGTCACGGGGAGGTTATTTTTGCGCCGATTGATCTTGTTGGCAATTCGCACAATTCTCTTGGAGATCAGGTAAATGATCTCACAGATGTTGAGGACGATGCAGAGCGCAGAAGCGCCCACCATGAAGTAGGTGAACACTTTCTTCTCGGTGGGATGACCGATGTAGCAGTCCACTATGTTGGGGCAAGGTGACACCTCACACTTGACCAGCCTGGGCAGGTAGAAGCTGTCGTAGACGTGGTGGAGGATGTAGAGGAAGGCGATCTCAATGGCCGTCTTGACAAAGAGGCTGATCAGGTAGGTCCACCACAGGCCGCCGTGCTTCTTGCCCGTGTTGTTGTACAACTTGGCGTTCTCGCCGTGCTTGGCTCTGTGCTTGCGTTCGCGGTCATCACGGTAGGCCACGTGCATGACCACCATGAAGGACGGGCAGGTGATGAAAATCAGCTGCAGCGCCCACAGGCGGATATGCGAGATAGGGAAGAAGTGATCATAGCAGACGTTGGAGCATCCTGGCTGCTTGGTGTTGCAGTCAAAGTCCTTTTGCTCATCGCCCCACACCCGTTCAGCCGCCACCACATACACCATCACTCTAAACACAAACACCACAGAGAGCCAGATGCGCCCAAAGGCTGTGGAATATTTGTTCACCCCACTCAGGAGGGCTTGGAATGTCTTCCAGTCCATGACTTGTGCAGTTGGTCAGATGTGTCTTCGATGGAGTTCTTATTCTTTACAGGCTTCTGTCTTAAGGGGCAAGGAGAGGACCTTTTAGAATAATTAACTGATCAACATTTGAACTCAGTCACATCATGCAACCCCATGAGGGACAGTCTAAAGCGCTTCAGGTGAAAAAGAGTAATGTCCGAAAACTGACCAAATGTCACCCGAGTTATGCCCACTTCAACCACTGCAAATATGACAATTGCTCAGATATTTTGGATTTTTATGGCCAATTTTATGAGGGAAATTCTGACCCTTCAAAAAATCTCAAATATTGAGCCGATCGTTCTGATCATTTGAGAGGTTGAAGTCGGCATAAGTATAGATGTCCACATTAATTTGGGTGTCGATTAATTGCAGTTTTTTAAAGCAACATGAAACTTTTTCTTTATGGTGAGCACCTATGGAGAGCAAAAGGCTTAATGCCCCCCCCCCAAAAAAAAACAAAAATTGGGGCAATCATTGTGATATTTTCAGAGGTTGAATTTTAGTGATGATTGATCACAGTTTTTTGACATAAAGCACCACTAATTGGGCTTACGTTAAGCATTTTAGACTGTCCCCACAACAACATGAAGAGGCCATCCTTGAAACCCATCCTTGAACTTAATGTCCTTATTTGACAAAGAATAATGTGTCAGGTAATGTAATGTGTCAATGTGTTTGAAATGATGCAAATAAATGAAATGTGCTGTATTCTTTGTGACAACACAAGATTCAATGAAGGAGAAGTTTTTGAACCTGTGTGCTATTTTTTTTTTTTTTTTGTACAGTACACTAAAATCTTCAACGTAATCTATGAGAAACGTTTGTCACTTTCAGGCCTTTAACTTGAGGCACCCTTTTTCACGGTTTTTTTAAGGACTTGACTTAAATTCACTCAAAAGTGTTTACATGGAAAGTAAATTTTAACTTATACACAGACAGGCCGAACATAGTATCGATTTGAAGTGTGAATTACAAATTCGTAACGTTATAATGTCGCCAAAACATTAAAAAATCATCCAAAACGACGCTTAATTACACTCGAGCCTCTCTCTCGATTTCATGGTATCAATTCTAGTTTAAAACAAGTCGAATAACTGCTCTAACAAGTATAAAATCGTGTAAAGCTACAACACCGTGAATTGTTGTTTCGAGAACGTTTCCATTTGTTCAGAAAAACGCGAATTTACAAAGCGGCCGCAAACGCACCAGGGGAGGCTGAAAGCGAATTCTCGTCTTACCAAAAGACGTCTTAGTCCATTTGTGGCGAAGACGGTCGATCAAACGTGTGGCCAACACATTTGTCGATTATTTGACGATCCTTTTTAGCCGTGAAACACAAGAGTGTCAGTGCGCACAGGTAGAGGAGCGCAGGCTTGAGAAATGCGCCTGTGGGTGTGGTTTCGAAAGTCGAAAAAGAAGACGGACTGGAGCGAACCCAGATGTTCCTGCCAACTCCGCCTGGCTCGCGCTCCTCATTCACACTACTGTTAACATTACACAGCACACCTCTGAGTAAAAATATTATTTCATGTTTTATTACGCTGTTGACACTTAAGCACCTTTTCCACCCGCGTCTTCTCAGATTAAGGTTTGCTTGTTCTTTATGTGATTGTCATGTTTTTTGTAATCATGTGTTGTTTGCTCTCTGTGCAACCAGGAACCAAAGACTTCTTTTGTCCTGACTTGTTTCCACTTGCTTCATACTGAGACAGACACACCCTCCACCGAATACATTTTTTTTCACCTGAACGGAGAAGATCAAGCATGAAAGGCAGGTTGCTATTGTGTTTCTCCCCTGAGTCTGGCTGCGCGTCATCATTCACTGGGGGTTGGCGTCACGCAGTACCTTAGTCACGATATGATATTATCACAATACTTAGACAACTACACCACTCACAAAAGCCTAGAGGTATTTTGCTTCTGGGTTAAAGGATGAAAATGAATGCAATATTAACACTGCGAGCGAACCTAATATGATCTTCTATACATTTTTTGAACGCACATGTCCAACTGTTTGATGTTTCAACACTTCAAGAATAGAACGACAAAATTTACTATAGGTGTTGGATGGAAATTTCCAAGGCTGTCCGCTTCGATACCTTTCTGTGACTCTTCCAGTCTCTCTGTTGCAACCGATGATACGCTGACACTCTCAGCGCTGTGACTTATTTCCTCGAGGACATTTACTGTTTGAAGCCTCGCAATTGTTAGGTGTGGTCTTGGTAAAATTCTAAAAATTTGTAAAAATTCCTGCATGAAAGAACAAACACAAAAACGATACCATAAAATAAATAATGAGTATTTTAACCAGTTGATGGACAGCAGTTGCAACAGTGGGCAGCTTATCATGTTATCACGTTACAGGATGCATGAAAGCGTTAAAATAGGGCTTTAATTTTCAATCAGCCTGTATATTGATAGAGTCAGGCCCCAGCCTCCTATGACATAATTTGGAAAATTTCATATTTTAAAAAAAAAATCAATCTAAATTTCTACATGTGTGGGTGTTATTTATTTATTTGACAGTTTTTTGTTTTTTTTTTAAGAATCTTAAGTCTTGAAAATTGTTGCGCTCTTTCATGATTCACGTTAATGGCTGAAAATCGTTTTGGGGGTCTCCTGAAAAGTGCTCAATTTGGAGGTACAAGAATTCCACCCGACACCAGCGATATGTGAACCAAAGCCATTATTCGGGCCCTCTTGGAATTGCATTGTTTATTATTATTTTGGGGGGGGGGGGGTCAAACAGTCCTGAAAACAGACTGAATTTTGCTCATATATGTAGACTCGTAGGGTGGCCTGGTGGTCCAGTGGTTCGTGCATTGTGCAGCACATTGTGCTCACGATGCAGAGGTGCAGGGTTCGATTCTGACTCTGGCCTTCCTGTGTGGAGTTTGCATGTTCTCCCCGTGACTGTTTAGGGTTTTTTCCGGGTACTCCAGTTTCCTCCCATATTGCAAAAAACATGCATTGCAGGTTAATGGAACACTCGAAATTGTCCCTTGGTGTGAGTGTGAGCGCAGATGGTTGTTCGTCTTTGTGTGCCCTGCGATTGGCTGGCAACCAGTTCAGGGTGTACCCCACCTACTGCCCGAGGACAGCTGGGGTAAGATCCGACATGCCCCGCGATACTTGACAGGATAAGTGGATTGAAAAATGGATGGATGTATCCTGGTAAAAATGTATTTCATTTACAAGTCCCCAATACAAAGGCCCAAAACTCACTCAGTAGAACCTCCTGGAAAATTAAATAATTTTCCCGCAACACAAGTTTGAACAATCCTCAAGGACACATGCATGAAATTTAAGAGGAAGTTGGCCCTTTTTGGATTGAAACAGCCGTTGACTGGAACCTCAGAGATATGGCGCCTAATTTTTTGTGAAACCTCTCAAGTCTACAAAGGCAAAATCTTAATCGCTCTTCCATTGTCCAAATACTTTTAAACTGTAAAAGGATTGATAAATAAACAAAAGCCAGCAAGTGTTGTCTTGTCTGTGTAGATTCCGAGCCATCTACGTCATAATTGCAGCTGGATTTAGCAAGCAGGTCAACACTTGTACACTGGAGTTTGTTTTCAGCAGACATGTTTATCATAATATTCCAGTATTAATGTTAGCAAAAAAACCACTTCATTAGTTGACTATTCATATCAAATCCCCTTCAAGTCCAATCAAGCGCCAGCAAGGATTGTCTAAGAGCCAAACACTCTCAACCAAGCCCATAAATTCAAGGATGAGGGAGCACTTTCCATCTGCTAACACACAATGATTCAATACGGAAACTGGTACAATGTCACCAGGAAGCCTTGATGAGCACGCCAACACTGAAAATATTTTTACATCCTTCTCCGACCTCTGAGAAAATGTGGCACACACTTCCTATACTCATAAAAAAACTTTGAGGCTTTGTAAATTGTTTGGCGGCTCAATGCGTTGAAAAATTTCAGGGCAAGTAAACAATGTGGGTGCTGTCAGCGAAATGAGGAATTCTGAAATATCAAAACAGAAACCTCTCAGAGGTCTGGCAGCTGTGAGCTAAAACTCACAGAAGATCACCAGATTTCCAAAGTGACTTGTGATGTTTGTGCGCGCATGATGTGAATACACTCGCTTTAGTAAAACGGAATATTTTACCTAGAAAGGGGGGAAGGGTGAAACACTTGCTTTTTGGCTACAACTGAAAAACAGGTCTAGTCAGTTTGTCGGGACACACCTGGAGGAATGCATTGATTTACTCAACATCTTCCAGCGTGTTTCGACAAGATCAACCCACACAACAACGTCACAACGCTGAGCTGTCGGAGTAAGGGAATATAAAGGCAGGATGGAAAAAAAAAGCTAGCACCAGGAAGAGAGATAGCCCGAAAATTCCCATGATTTACAGCACGTTAGGGAGCCACACAGATGTGTTTTTTTTTCGGAGAGTAAACAAGGACAAACATGTACTGGAGCAAGCTTGTATTTTGACATGAAGAGGCCACACGTGAAACATCGAGCAAACGCAAGATCTCCACAGCGCTACATTAACACGTTCAAATCCGCATATGGAGTAAAACGTGAGCATTTTTGATGATATAAGCTTTACTTTTGCACTCAGCCTAGACAAACTTCGCAGGGCAAATACAAAGAATAATCAATCGACTGTCAGCACGGGCAAAGAATTCCTTCGCTGGGTGGGCCTGCGCGTCACCGGGGATGACTCAAACCAAGGAGCACAAGGCTCCTCCTTCTTTTTCCCCTTCTCACAGTACCAATCAAGCTAAATAACGAGGGTGTTGCAACATGGCGGACGAAACATCTTTTTTTTTTTTAGAAACAACGCAAGATAGGACTCAAGAAGTGGAAAACAAGTCTATTTAATGCAAATATACATCCTGAACATCTTAACAGTGTAAAAACAATCAACTTGAATCTTTTACAGTGGTGATAAATTACATGCACAGTGTAAAACAATGGAAGCAAATGGACACGCGCTGATATCGACACACGCATTGTGGACAAAAGTATTGGGACGTGACCACACCGCAAGTAAAAAGTGGATTGAAGATGTTCCAGATTCCACTCGTTTGGGAATTATGCTTGGCTCATAGTCTCTATGTGATGGCAGTTACTGTCATGGTTTTACATAACAGTCAATTCAATGATCGTTAGGAAAACGGTGTGGAAGCGATTTTTAGCGATCAATTATCGCAACTTAAGCAAAACTGAGTGCCCTACTTGGTTGCAAACAGCATTTGATTTGGTCTCAACTCGTTACACTCGTACACTAGATCAGCTTTGCGAAGTTGAGTACGACAACACTGGCATGGAAGCAGGAGTTCAGAACATTCAAAGATGTGGAGTCAACCCCAGCAGACTGGGATAGATGTAGGCTACACACACAGCACAAACTATGTACATAAACAAGCATTCACGCTCACATTCACAACGATGGCCTTTAGAGTCAAACGTGTTTTGGGAATTTGGGAGGAAGACGGAGAAGACCCGCGCAAAAACAGGGGAAACTAGATTCAAACCCCAAACGTCACAACTCCTCATCCAACGTTCTGCCCATTCACCTGCGTGTTAGATGATTGTTCATTTTCCCCCGAGCTGATCCAGAAAATGTCGTCAAATGCTCATCCCCAGTTCAGGGCTTTCAAGTTCTCCTAAAATCAGGTGGTTTTTATTTGCTCCCACAGTGTTTGAAGAACATAAATTCTTAATTCATTTCAAAAAATGCAGTTTCAGAGGGTACTAAAGAGTCTGGCCCAGTCTGTAATTAACTGGATGAAGAGGAGAGTCTCAAGAGTTTTGTCGATGCAGTGTATGTGCGATTTGAAAAGACTGTATAATTTGAATGAAAACATTTGGAGGTTTGGCACTGCTCAGAGAGGAAAATCTTACACAGAAACCATGTGTGTGTGTGTGTGTGTGTGTGTGTGTATCTGTGTGAGACCACACTCTCCAAATCACAGAATGACTCATGTATGGTCCAAAAGCCCGCTTCACATAAAAGTGACTTTCTCGCTTTGTCTCTCAAAATGTCACAAAAAAAAGACTACTTTGACGGGCCGTTATGGGGCAAGAACCTCAAATTTCCAGACAATGAGAAGTCAGTAAAGATCATTTTCTCATGTCATTAAAAAAAGTGCCTGCCTTGTCAAGTCTTTACCTGAAAGAAAAAACAACATAAAACATAATTTCAAGATACGGCCACGCTGTACGCCGGAGCAGGTGTGACCGGCGTGTTCTTTTTGGGCAACTTGAGAGCGTTTGATTCCATCAAATTGCTGCCACTGGTGGGCACCATGTGGTGAGAGTGATGATAGACACCGCTGAAGATCTCGCGGCAGCGTTTGCCCACCAAGTAGACAATCTCCAAAACAGAGAGAAAGATGCAGGCCAGGCTGGTGACCACCATGAAGATTGTGAAGATTCGTTTCTCAGTGGGCCGGGCGATGAAGCAGTCCACCGTGTTGGGGCACGGCTTCTGTTCGCACTTGATGAGCGAGGGGAAGTCGTAGCCCTCGTAGATATGGTAAAGGAGGTAGACAAAGGTGGTGTCCACGCCGACTTTAAAGACCAGAGTCAGGACGTAGGTCCACCACAGACCGCCGCGCTTCTTGCCCGTGTTCTGGTAGAGGCGGCGGCAGTTCTCGCCGTACTTGAGGCGGTTCTTGCGTTCGCGGTCCTCCCGGTAGGCCACATGCATCACCACCAGGAACGAGGGGCAGGTGACGAAGATGAGCTGCAGGGCCCACAGCCTCACGTGGGACACGGGGAAGAAGTGGTCATAGCAGACGTTGTGGCAACCCGGCTGAGCGGTGTTGCATTTGAAATCCTTCTGCTCGTCACCCCAAACCTTTTCGGCCGCTACCACGAACACCAGCACCCTGAAGACAAACACGATGGATAGCCACACTCGCCCGAAAGCAGTGGAGTACTTGTTCACCCCGCTCAGGAGGCCCTGGAGGAAGCCCCAGTTCATGGTGAATCACTTTCGTTGCTTCTTTCTTCCTGTTGATGAAAGTGGAAAATCATAGGATAAGGGAACAAAACAGGTCGCAGGTCACATGTTAGTGGGGCACGACTAGGAAAGCAACATTTTCACACTTTGTGTTCAAGATTCATGTATGTTAATATTATGGCTGTACATTTCAACTTCAGTATGTCCGTGCCAATCAGAGGTGTACGGCTGAAAAAGATCCGCCAAGTTGTGATCTCATGTCACAACTATTTTAAGTTAGTTATTTATTATTTTAACTAAGTTTAAAATGGGCGAAAATAACAGGATTACCGAGAGCTGACTGTAACGGTGGTTGAATATTTCTCGAGTGGAAACCCTTTCGTCTACTTCTATGGCAAATCAGTCACGTTGCGTTCACGGAACCAGTTAGGTGCGTTTGAAGGCAAGCCAAATCTTAGGCAAATTACCCGCTTTCGAACGTCCGCACTTGGTCAAGGCGTTTAACAGAAAGGACGACAAACCTAAATCGGCCTGGTTTTAATCTTGAATTTGAGTAGGGTACTTACAGTGCAAGACGGAGGAGCAGAACTTGGATGAAGCTTGCCGACGGGGCAATCTGAGCAGTTGTCAACAGGACCGACGAGGGGAGGGTGGAGCTGTTCCTCTGCCATGTCCTTGCAAAATGTAACTTGCCTGCTCAGGTGTGGCAAAGCCATTCCACCACTGTTGGTCGAAGCGACGACATGCGTCTGCTTTTCTCTCTTTTTTCTTCTTCTTTTCTTAACTCCACCTATGTCTGCACTCTGCAGCAGTGCGCATAATGGTGGTTGGGGTGTTGGCCGGGCAACAAGAGGTTTCAGGGGATTTCCTACAAAGATCGCTCTCAACATTTTATTTATGTATTTATTCATAGCATTACGATTACTTTCACACACTTTCTTATGGAATAAATGTCGGCTGTCAGAGTAATTTATGAAATACAAAAGAGGTACCCTCTTCAAATCAACAAATAAAAAGCAGGAATAATAGTTGCAGTAATTTTACCTCAAAATTGATCTTTTTTTTCATGCATTCAATTGGCTAGCAGATGCTTTTAGAGTAAACCACAATTGCCCAATTGCAATGCATTTGCACTACCTAGTGGGGAAAGTTGGTTTATTTTTTTCTAGCCCTTAAACGATCTCTCTCTCTCTCTCTCTCTCTCTCTCTCTCTCTCTCTCTCTCTCTCTCTCTCTCGACATAGGTGGAGTAAGAAAATACAGTAAGAAGAAAAAATACTGTAGCAGCGAGGAGAGCGAGAGAGAGAGAGAGAGAGAGAGAGAGAGAGAGAGAGAGAGGGAGAGAGAGAGAGAGAGAGAGATATTTCTCCTCACTGAATATCTTCATCAAGATGGACCACCGAGTCTGACTGTTGCAGTTTCTTTATTTAAAAAAAAACAGTTTGAAATATTTACATTGCAAAAGATTTGGACTCAAGGTGTAAAGGTTGGCACTTATCACACACAAAGTCCAACAGGCACATGAAGTTCGGTTTCATTTACACACATTCTCCACAGTCTGAGATGATGACTTTTTGCTTTGCCTTGCCGTCTTTTGTTCCCTGAGCCTGCACAACAAAAATGGTAGAATTTTTGTCAACCAAGAATGCATGTGAAATTGTGATTGCTGTTTTATAACAAGGCAGCACAAAAAACACCAATGTCAACAGTATTAGTGTTTCGCATATGCCCATCATCTCAAATTTGAGTGTTTCATCTAAATATGATTCAGATGAAAATTTACTGAAAGCTTTTTATCCCACCGCCATCCCATCCAAGCATCCCGGCCAGCCCCCAGGAAGAGGATGTGTACCAGTACAGTGAAACTCCTCTACAACGAAATCATGGTTGCAGCAAGAAATTTTTCACAACAGGGGGTTTTTCACTGTAGCAAATTTGATCTCAGATGTAAGCACACACACACCCACACACACAAACGTATGTGTACACGCACACACAAACGTTTGTGTACTCTATTTTTATTCCAATAGTACATAAGTATGAGCACACACTTATTTGACACTTCATATTGTCAGTGTAGAAAGAAAAAAAGGGAAAGAAATTGCGAAATTTATGATCAGCATTCACTTTCACTTACATCAATTTCTTGGAAAATGTCTTTTATTTTGCTTGCTCCGTCTTTCATTTTGATCACTTTTACCCTCTCTTCCAGCATCAGAGCTCTTCTTGTCTTAGCTGCTTGACATCAAAAGGTCCGTTTTGTAGCCATTTTAGCAATGCAACGTCCATCCTCGTCTGAATCTAACAATAACAAATACTTCCTGGCATGCAATGAACTTTTAAGCCAGCCACGGGGCGCTTCGTAGTCCTCGATGGCCATAGTTAGCTCTCGAAGACTAAAAACCTTACGCTAACTGGAGCGCTAATGAGTCGTTTATTTGAATGTCCGTCGAGCCACTGGAGCGCTAATGAGAGAGAAGCGCTCCAGTTAGCGTAAGGTTTTTCGCCTTCGAGAGCTAACTATGGCCATCGAGGACTACGAAGCGTCCCGTGGGTGTTTTTAGCATGATAAAAAGTAAAGTAAATGTCCGTCGAGCCATAAGCAATTTACTCTGAGCAGCTAATCGGATGCTACGGATCTAGCTTCAGTATCTACACACATAGACAGTGAGGTCTATGTGGCCTCTTGGCCAATCGGAGGCCAGGATGATGCTCGGTAAGCCAATAGCAGAGCAGCTATGAGTATGTTGAGCCCAGGAAACTCGCAGCTGTGACCGAAATAAACATCGTTCACTATGTAAACCAGTGTGGTGGTTGCTGTTGCCTTTTTTCGAACGAAGCAGTAGAGGTCGCTGTTGGATAAGACTTCGTTGTAGTGAATGTCTTCGCGAGGCTGGAGCAGACAAAATGATTTCGTATAACGCAACAGGGGGTTTTTCGTCGTATGGGGGGCAGGAGAATGGGAATTGTGTTAATGCATGAAGATTTTTTCACATAAGGGGGTATTTTCGCCCATGCAGGTTTCGTTCTAGAGGAGTTTCACTGGATGTCCTTTGCCATCCCTATTTGTCTCATAGACCATCCAGCATCACAAAGTGAAATAAATGCAAGCTGTTGTCATCTGGCCCTCACCTCCATTGCACGAAGCACGTCCATCCCCTCCACCAGCTCTCCGAACACCACATGTTTGCCATCCAGCCAGTCTGTTTTGTCAGTGGTGATGAAGAACTGGGAGCCGTTGGTGTTGGTACCAGAGTTGGCCATAGAGAGCTGCCCTGTGTTTACCAGAGACAAAGTGAAGTCACTCTTCCGGGGAATGTGCCAGTGAACAGAAACCATGAAGCTTCAAGTGAATATTAATAATGAGACAACACATTCTAAGGCGAGCCCCTCACCTGGAGCGGTGTGTTTGAGGACAAAGTTTTCATCATCGAACTTCCGGCCATATATGGACTTGCCACCTGTGCCGTTGTGGTTGGTGAAGTCACCTCCTTGGCACATGAACTGGGGAATGATGCGATGAAAGCTGCTCCCTTTGTAACCAAATCCTTTTTCATGTGTGCATAAGCAGCGGAAATTTTCTGTAAAATAAATCAAGTCTATGTCAATTTGCATCCATGACACAGCATTTCAACTCATCAATGTGCTCACGGAACATGATGTCCAAGGTGAGAATGGAATCTCTAAGGTAATGAACCTAAGGTTGTACAGTTTCTAATTTGATCACTCATTTTCAGAAAAAAAAACAACCTCTACAGGCACACAAAACTTAGTTGAACCAAAGTCATGCAAGATGTGACACAATATTTCAGCGTATTGATGAACCTGAAACTGCTGCTTTAGATAGACAGAGCAGAGAAAGGAAAAAAAATATATACTTTTTTGCAGGAGTGACTGGCTAATACAGCCAATCCGTCAACTGTGCAGTAGTGTACAATCGGTCCATTATGTTAGCATCATGTCTGAAAATTGTGATAGGTCCTCATAAGAAATGATGTGGAGATGTGTGGGGATGTGCTAATCAGTCTGAAAATATTAGAACATACGGCTTCACATATACATGGGCACGGGCGGGTGCAAATGATTTTCAAAATAAAACTTTTTTTTCAGCCGCTGGTGATTAATAAAACATTTTGATTCAGTCTCTCTGTGCAGCCCAGTGCCAAATATCATGAAGACCAGTACCAGAGCCATGATCTAAAGGCTTAATATTGCTTTCAGAGTAGAGACCAGTTTTAACATGGTGTCAGATAGATGCTGGAATGGATCAGTTCATATTTCATCATTTCTGATGGAAAGAGTTTATTTTATTTTACTTTTTTTTTTCGAGAAGAAACGAATTGTCTCCCGGAATGGATATTAGCCCTGTTCACACGGCAAGATTTACTCCGACGCTGCACCGACTCTACGCCAGTGGAGCGTTCACACGTGCAAATTTACTTCGACGTAGCGCCGCTCAACAGCCTAGTGCGCATTAAATTTGATCCACCTCAGGGAGGTGGTTTAAAAATTTGCTCCGAAGCAAATGCTCGTTTGCGAAGCAGCACCGAAGCAAATGTGCGCGTGTGAACGCAACTGGCGTAAATTTGCTCCAGAGCAAATGCTCGCTTGCGGGGGAGTGGCCTCGCTACGCTCGAGACCAGACGCACGGAATCCGACCCCGGTCGACAGTGACGAGGGGGCCAGCGACACAGACGAAGCCCGGCCGTGCACCCCCGTTCCCGGTAAAAGTGTCGGCGATTTAAGCGGTGAAGACAGCGCTCACGATCAAGACGAGAATCGAGAAAGCAGTGACGTCAACCGAGCCCGATTTGCAGGCCCGAGCCTGAAGCAAACCCGACATTTCATATTTTATTTGTGAGTATTTTTGGGAGAAAAAAACACAAGATTTCTTACGGTTAAAGTAATCTACATATTTTTATGAACATTATCAATGCATTTGCACAACGAAATAACGCTGAAATACAGAATAAGAGGACAGGCAAAGAGAAATCTCGATGTGCATTTGCTTGATTACGCAGAGAAATCCTGCGGCTTACTAGGCTTTAAATAGAATAATTCAAATGAAATAAATAGGTAAAGATATCTGAAATTATTTCTACAGGATTGTTTAAACGAAATTAACATACATGCGCACTGGTCTGGCCGGCTGCGCTCCTGTTTAGCAGTTAAATAGCAATTAAATTACAGCGCATTCTCTGTTTTATCCAAATTGTTTGTTTTAAAACAAGTATTCCTTAGTTTAGTATCCGCACATTGTTTTAGTATACATTTTTTAAAACATATATTGTGGCAGTCATCAGGAGCACACACGATTGACTGTAAACACGTCTTTATTCCACGACTGCCGACAAGTGGATCTATTCTGAACAAGGACAGAATAGTGTCCACCATAATATTTATTAAAAGAAAAATAAATAAAAGTCCGCGAGAGAGAAGCCCGACCCGAACCTGTTTTACTTCCGCATTCCTGTCGTTTTGGTCCGGAGCAGAAAGTGCACGTGTGACCGCAAGTTCGCTGCTTCGACGCTGCGCCGGAGTTGTCACGCTCAGCGGCTTTGCACGTGTGAACGCTCCACAAAATTTGCTCCGGTGTAAAATACATCGCAACAAAATATTTCGGAGCTGCGTCGGACCAAATGTGTGCCGTGTGAACAGGGCTATAATCTACTGTGCTGAAAGCCCAGTGCATTGCAACATACAGACCCGCTGTCATGGGAACAATGTCGGCCCGAAGGAGAAAGCGAAGTCTCCCTGCAGGTTTGTTGCCAAT